CTTAGTAAGGTTGGAGCAGGAAGGCACTACCCAGGCACACCTGTACCTCTGTAATTCCAGGCTGGATACATGGGCAGCTCCCAAGAAGAGGCTTGCAGCAGCCTGCTCTGCCTGGCACCTGCACCAGCCCTCTTGGGGCCTGCCACAGCATCAAGCCACCTTCCATCCCACCCCACATCACCAAGCGTGTCCCAGCCAGACTCCAGACATTCCCTTTCACGCACACAGGGTTCCACACCCACCTTTAACCTGATTAGACTTGGCTCTCGCTTGTACCACCTGATTTATACGCAGCACTAAAGACTGCAGGCTCAGAGGTCTGTAGCATCCCAGTTATTAATCACAGGGTGCCAGATTTGGGAGATGTTTTCCACAGAGTGAAAGCAGGGCAAGGTTGTCTGCCCTCAAATTTCGCAATGCAGAGATGAAGTCCTGGAGCGGAATGTTGTTTAGATCAAAACACAGACCTTTAGGAAACTTACACGTTAACTGCAACCCTGTTCTGTACGTGGTGCTTAACTACACCAAAGTCAGGTCAGGGTAAAACCCTACCTGTGTCAGATGGCTGCTGTCTGTGCTTACATCAAATTCCATAAGGGATTTCACTGCTGCCTTTAGCATGTGTTACGCAGCAGACAACACACACACACCCCCCATAGTTTTCTGAAACCTCAGGCTAAATAATCCTGTTCTTCGCATTCTCTCCCTGTTCTCTGTAGGAAAATGTCTTGCTTGTGCTTGCTCTGTGGACCAACCTGCAAAATACTTTTCTTTTGCTGGTCTTAAAAGCCACTCTCCAGATTTTTTTTTCAGGATATTTTCATTCTTAACCATCACCTGGATCCTGGCCAGTGGGAAACATTCATCTCTTAAACTTTACAGCCTGGTACCATCCTCGCCTTCTGCTCTCCCCGTGCTGTGCTCTGCTTATCTCGGTGTCACTAAGGAATGCAGGGCTCATCCCGAGCATTCCTGCAGGCAGAGAGGTTTTGTGCAGCACTGAATCAGCCCCAGGGAGGGGGCATCTGTTTCAGCTCTTTGTGCATCATCCATGTGAAAAGACTGACAAAAATGCCCGCCTTTACTAAACATTCCCCCAGGTTGCCACCGAAACTCTTGGAAACAGAGAAAAAAGGAGAAGAATAACCTGAAGAAAGACAGTAACATGAGAACAGGCCAAAGTGACTCATAAAGGGAAAACTCTGCCTGCTGCTACCAGATGATTTCAGAGAAACTGGTGAGAAAAGGGCTGCTGTCTGCCCTGGGGAATCTTCACCAATACCTGGGCAGCTGTTTGGGATGTAGTACCACAGCAGTAATATTCCAGATGATTAAAGTTGGCAGCTAGTCAAAGAGCAGGGAAAATACAACGCCTGCCTCAAAAAGTGGGTATCCAAAAGCAGAAACAAAGGTGGGAAATGAAAAGTTCCTTTTCCAAGGATGCTCTGCTCCTTGCAAGAGGTTCTCTGTATCGCTCAGAAAACAAGCGCCTCTGGGCAAAGGCTCCACCTCCCTTCACCCTCACTGAAGTGAGTGCTCCACTTGCTGGGCTGCTCTTCCAGTCTTACAAGGCTTGTCTCAGTCTCCCAAATGAAGTCAGGGTTGAACATGTTAGAAATAAGGCAGCGTTTGGCTCACCAGGTTTCGTGGAGTAGCTTCTTTAAGAGATTAAAAACACTGAAATAACCAATGACCAGTCACTGTCTGTAAACACTGAGCTAAGGGCAGCAAACACAAAATGGGTACTTAGCCCAAGGCAGAGTGAGGCCACCTCCCTGCTTCCCAGCTTTCCCAAAGAAAGCCAGAGGGAAGGCAAAGCTTCCAGCAGCCCGGCTGGAGCTGGACTTTCCTCTTATTACACCAAATTCCTCAGATTTTTGTAACCTGCTCCAGTTTGCCCTTTGAGCCTCAGAGTGCAGATCCCTGATGGTACCTGTTAGTGTGCACGTGCTCCTGGGCAGGGCCCGAGTGCAGGCCTGCGAGCTGCTCCACCAGGATTAATCTGTGGGATTAGCCCCTCGTTTAGGAAACTATTTGTCTTGCCTCAGAGCCATTCCACACAGGAACAATATGTACATCCCATCCAGTCTCCCAGGGAACCGCAATGGCTCCAGAGAGTCCTACTAAAAGACCCTATCTTGTTCTGTGGATGTTCTGGTGTTTTTCAAGGCTCTCTCCTCACCCAGATAATGAATGACATGGTCAATAGATAAGGGCTGTACATGCAGGCTCAAGGTTTTGGGGAAAACAAGACCTTTATCTGCACTTGAGCACTGAAGCATACAGGTCTTCATTGCCTTCATGTCATGGATCTAGTCTGTTGTCCTCAGGAATGGAAAACACTGATCACTGTTCTCCTTGGTAGTTTTAATTGTCTTACAGCAGCAACTGAACCATCACCCTTTTGCTTTTACTTTGGAGCTGTCTCTTCCAGTTCATCCATTCCTACTTCCTGGCTTTACAAACAGCTCTCAAACAGCCTAATTATTATTTGAATTATGGGAATGCTGAGAAACCCAGCCCAGGGCAGGTCCCTTGGTGGGAGATGTTTTACACTGTCAGCCTTACTTATCCAGCAAAGGATGAGAGAAGTAGCAGGAAGGGAATTCTCCCAAGCCATGTGGTACAGCAGATGCAGAGAGAGAACACAACCCACACACAGCAGGACTGAGAGATGCCTCCCAAATCCATCACATGCAGCACGAGATGCCACAGGCCCTCTCCATCAGCCAAGAGAATTCCTCTCTGCAGGAGCAGCTCCTGACATTTCGCAAAGGGCCTCCTTAGAACAGTCGTTTGTCCCACATGAACACTTCCAGGACTTACTCCCAAGTGCAGGAGTTTTAGAGACAGTTATAAACACTTGAAGCCTTTTACTGGCGCCCAGACAAAGCGACCAAAGCCCATGTCAGCAGACACAGCCTTGCCACAGACATCATCCCGACCTGCCAGCAAAGAAACAACAGCAAGTCCTCTCCCTTCCCCCGTCAGTGGCAGACGTGAGAGTCGGGACTACAAACACTGCTCTTTTCCCTTTCCCCCTCTCTGCTTAGACAAAGAGGGAGCAGCCCTGCCTGAGTGTTAGGAAATAAGAGCCCTCCCACCCACCTCCTGCTAGGGCCAAGGGAGCGGGAAAGCTGCCTGGAGCCACCCCCTCTCCAGGCTGGGGAAAAGCTGGATGCGGGGGAGCGAGCCTGGAACAAACCTCGGCTGCGCTTGTGGGCAGAGCCGCGAGCAGGGAAAGCTGGGAACAGGCAAGAGGCATTTCACGCTCCTGGCTGAGTCACCACCGTGCATAAAACCAAGGCCGGGCAGTCAGAGCCACGCAGAGTTGGAGGCACGAGGCGCCGGGACTTCGGGACAGGTATGTGCAAGCGGATGCGGTTTTGAGGCAGGGACTCAGATTAAATCTAAGATCAGCATCTAACAGTCCAAATCCTCCCATCCTCTCCTTGCCATGTGCTGGGGAGCAGGGAATCCAGCAGCTCCAGTGACTGGGAAGCCCTGAGGCTGCTTGGCTCTTGGACTGTTCCACATGACAAAAAGGACACAGGCAACCAAAATATGCTGCTTTTGCTGGTCAAATAAACTATTTTCCTGGTCCCTACTTCAAACCTGGGGTGGCAGCAACAGATGATGGTCTGCGGAAGCCCTGGCACCATACAGGGAACAGCAAGTCGCTATTAAGGCTTGGATTAAGCCTGAGATATTTCGTAGCACATGGGACTTCAGTCACATCCCTACACTGTAATGTACTTCTGGATGAGGAATGATCATCATGATGCCTGGCAGCACAAAGACTCAGCAAGAGCAGCATTAGTTCTGGGCTGTGGTTCGATAACCTGTGCAGCCTTGGACAAGTGATTTAGGGCTTTTAATCTTTTTCGGAATGACAAAGACATTTGGTGGGGTGGGGTTGGGATGAGGGAGCACAGAGGGAGATGTAACACTCAATAACATGTTTCTTGGTACGCAGGCCTTGGGGCTGCTCTCAGTTTCTAAGCACTTCTACTGAAAGGTGGTTCAGGAGCTGCATTTTCAGCACATCCTTTCCTCAGCAGTTGGGGTGCATTGAATGGTGTGCGGCACTCACATGCAGCAGGGCCCCAGCCCTGCCACCGCCCGGCAGACAGGCTCCAGGGCGCTGCAGGAGCAGAGGAGGGCGAGTCTCAAAGCGCCGTTGGGGTCCCCACCGTTGGTGTCACTCAGAACAAGGCTGAACTGCCCTGGCAGAGCCCACACAAGCCCCAGGGTTTTGATGTGAAGGGAAGGAAAGCCCTTCCTAACACAGAAAAGGCTTTTTTTTTTACCTGCCCACCCCATTGCAGCTCAGCCCACCTGGAGCTCCCATGTCCTTTACTGTCTGACAACCCTCCCCTGCCTTTGGATGCACACATTTGATTTATACAGAAAAAAAAATCCCTTGCCACACTCACCTGATCCCAGCCCTGTTGCTTGGGTACCACCCCATTAGATAGTTCTTCCCAGTGGGCTGGACACTGCAGCATGACTGCCCTGTAGAGAGCAATACATAATAATACATAGAAGTCAAGTCCCATAACATGGTGATACCCTCTCCTGCAGCTTGTCCAGTATAGCACCAACTGGTATTTTTACACTGGAGTACCCCTGTGCTGCTGCAGAGTTCACCTCTGACCCTGTTGCTGTGCTGGGTGCCAGGCTGGTACTGAGGGTACTGATGTGAGAACCAAACACCTGATAACAATTTGGTTGCTTTCTGCATGGAGAACTGTAGGTACTTTTAGAATTGCACAATGCTCCTGTCCCCAAAGGTTCTATGATTACTTAGGCTTAATTACAGGAGAGATACTAATTATCACTTTATCCGCTCTCTGGATGCAGTAGGAAAGGACTTAAACAAATGCCTTCACTTTTACATAGCTTGTTACTGCCTGGAGGGATTTTAATTTAGCTCATAATGCTGATGTTTTGTGATGTTTTGTTTTCTCCTTCCTGAAACAAAACCCAAACAGAGTTCATTGCAAGCCACATAGGAGAAAGATGTTTTCACGCTTGCTCATCCTCTCTCTGCTGGTGGGGAACACTGTGTCCAGCCCAGTGAGCAGAGCAGAGCCTGCAGCATCCAGGGACATCACCCCCTTTTTCCAGCTGGCTCACGAAGACCCTTGGGAGAACGTTAATCTCACCAGCATACCCTGTGAGGATCGCAAGAACAGGACCTGGATCACCCTGCAGCTGACCAACAGCAGCCTCACGGCTTTCCCTGCCTGCCTTCCAGAGGTACTGGAAACCTTGGATCTCAGCAACAACCTCTTAGAAGAGATGAATGGCACAGAGATAGCAAACCTCCCACGGCTGCGTGTCCTCTCCTTGCGGCAGAACCAGCTCTGGTCAGTTAGATGGGGATCCGAAGCCCTCAGCAGCCTCCTTTCCCTGGATTTAAGCTTCAACAAGCTGTCATCTGTGCCATCATGCCACAGCTCTGCCCTGCCTAACTTGAGGTGGTTGTCCCTGGCTGGAAATCCACTGATTGAAATCCAGCCTCTGGCTTTCTCCTGTTACCCTCAGCTACAGTTCCTCAACCTCTCTGCAACGCTGCTGGGCCAAGATGACAGCAGAGGAATTAGAGAGTCTGCTTTTGCCATCAGCACATCTCCCAGTGAGGCCACAAACAGGCCTGGAAACATCAGCGTGCTTGATCTGAGCAGGACCTTTCTTGAGAAAAGTAAGTTTCTGGACTTCCCACTGTAAGCATGGGGCTTGGTCAGGCTGGGGGGGGAGCATTAGACTTGCACAGACCAGACACCATGAAGCAGGACTACTTGTCCCAGTGTAGTCACCCATCTCCCTCCTAATCCCACTGTCTGCTACTGACAGTCATCCCACTGTCAGCCCTGAGATTAGTTGGGACACAGGAGGAAACTAATCACTCTTTCCTGAAATCCTTCTTTGTCTCTCCCCTCAGTTACACTGTGCTTTATACCGCTGCACTGAAGTAGCACAGAGAGAGGCTTTCTGTGTCAACTGCAACCAGCCAAATCCTTCCTCACAGTGAGACAATCCCTGCCCTGAGCAATGTACAGCATGATTTGTCTCTGTCTGCCTTCCCTGCCAGCCTCAGTTTATAACTGAGGTGCTGAGGCAGACAGATGTCAGATGCGTTGCGCAGCTGCTTTCAGCCTGGGACATATAGCCAGGACTTTAGGGACTCCTCAAGCCAGAGGTTTCACCCCAACTCACATTTAACAGATATACCACCAAAGTTCTGCCATGAATTTCCCTAATCCCTGTTGTGGTAGTGAGTTACACAACTCAGTTGTGGGATGGAAAGGGACTTTTGTGTAAGACCTACACAAAGTTCTTTCAGTTTCATGCCTCTCAGCTCTTTTTTCTGTACTAGGACAAATAAGATACTTGCCTTTCTCACACCAGTCATGACTGCATAGACCTCCCTAATCTCCCCCCATCCACCACTTTCTGAGCTGAGAAATCCCTGTTCATTTAATCTCACCTAACAGGAAAGCTGTTCCATATCTCTTATCAGCTTTATTGCCCTTCTATCTTCCCTTCTTTTCCTCTGCTCTACAACAGCATGACCTGTGGGTAACACTACAAAAACGTGTTTGCACTGGTGTTTATACACTGCTGTGCTGATGTTTGTTCTGTTCCTTTCCCAAAGAGCTGCAGAAGACCACAGAGACAATTGTTTTATCTCTATGAATTCAAACCCTTCTTTCTAGGCAGAAAGCCACAGGCATGTTCTGTTTAGGCAACAGGTATAAACCTTTTCTCTGCTTCAGTTCAGCCAGAGTGGACCAGAGACTTGCCCAACCTCAGATCACTTCACCTGACAAAGATGTCACAGTTAAGAAGCCTCGATACTGACTTCTTCAAGTCCATGCCTGCTCTCCAGGAGCTGAACTGTCAAGACTCCCACTTGCTGGCTTTTGTGCAGACAGAGATGTTTGACAACGCTCCTCATCTGAGCCAGCTCTCGTTTGAGAAGTGAGTTATTTTCTGTTCTGTTCTTCCTCACATCACATTGCCTTTGCCTCACATGGTGCCTGGGAGCTGATTTGTATGCAGTTTGCTTGTGATCAGGTATTTAGGAAGGAGGTATGGGCTTGCATGCCATGCTCAGATATGGCATGTAAAGCCTGTGATGGAGACCTGCAGAAGAGCTGATGCGGCTCAAAAAGGTGGCATGAGACTCATATCACAGTTACTGGTTGCTTGAGATAACATCCATCATGCTCCCACTCTTCATCCAACGGATGAATTCATCTAGCACTGTTAAAATTAGCATAGATCCACTGAAACCCACTTGTGATACAGCCCATGGTTCCAACATCTACAATGGCAATGTCTCACCAGAGGAGAAGCAGGTCACTGAGGATTTGTTGCCTTACAAAGGATGAATGCTGGATGAAATCTGCACCATGGAAGCATTCAAAAATCCTGTCCCTCCTGCTTTTAGTGTGAGAGATTAATATAGTTCCGTGTTCAGCACCAGTAAAAGCAATGGTTGGGTCCTTATCCTAGAGGTAATAAGAGCAGATAAACTGTACACAGAACAGTCAGCAAAAAGGAAAAGATTTGGAGCACCTCCAAAGATGTCTGTAATACAGGCCCAGATTATAAGGGTATCAGAATACAAATACTACTTGAGCGTTGGCTGTGGTCTAGGAACACAGTTTCAGGAAAATATGGCCATTTATGCAAAAAAAAAACCAACAACAAACCCAGTGGATTCCTTCCCCCACTGGATTTACACAGCACTTTACAATAGCTGCAGGAACACCAGTTCCAAGTGCTAAAAATCATGACCCAAACTTAAAAAAAACCAAAGGAGTAGCAGTTAGTCTCAGACAAAAGAGAGCATCTTCTGAGCACTCTGCAGGGAGGTCACATTATCACTCAGCAGTTTAACAGTAAAGGTAAACAAGGTCTTCCTGTATTAGTCATTTGACTTCAGTAGGTGTGAGTCTATAGTATTAAAGACTCAATTAACACGACAGAGGATGACTGGCACAGAGAAAGCCATTAAAAGCAGAGTGAGAAAGAAGCTGCAGAAATGGTATAGTAAAAAGTGGAGCTGAATGTGGGACTTAATGGCAGAGGGGAGATCATGATTTACAGAAGACCCTTGCTAAATGCCAGGTCCTTTCCCTTCCAGCTGCCATCTCCCAAGGTGTTACCCCTTAGGATGCTTTTGTTATGCGTTAACACACAGCAGGTACACGGTGCAAATTGGAGATGGGCAGGTATTAGCCTGGACTACAGTGCAGGACAGTGGTGTTGATAACTGGCTGCTTTCAAGGGAACTGGGAATATTGCTTTGTCTTGCACATGCTGGGACACTAAGCACGCTGCAGTGCTTGGAAGGTGTCTCAGGTTTGCTAATTATTGCATTTGTCATCTTGTAGCTGTAACCTGAGTTCCTTTAATCCTTGGAATACCAATTCCTCGGGTAACATCATCATCAACTTGTATGGAAATCCTCTGATATGCGACTGCCAGCTCTCCTGGCTGCTCTCCAAGCCCAAGAAAGTTGTGCTGCAAAAGTAAGTGAGTTCAAGGAGTTTAAGTAATGCTCTTAAAACACAACTTGAATATGTCATTTATTTGGGGACCAAACATTCGCTACCATATCAGTTACTCAAATTCCTTCTCTTTTTCCCTTCCACAAGTGGTAGAAATGCAAAGTGAAGTCCCCTTCAGGGACGAAGTGTGGCTGAATTATCCTTGAATGTGGACAAAATTCAATGGGCACAGCTAGAACAGTATAAAGTGTTGTTAGCCCTGCATTCTACTTTAAGAAGTCTGTTACCCAGAGATAAAAAATGAACTGCCTTGGTGGGCCAGGACTGGGAGCTGGAACTGAAAGACTTTGCAAGAACTTTAGCACATCATTTCCTCCGTGTATTCCCAAAGCCTGCATCAGCACAGGCAGTCAACAAACACCCTTGCAAATAGCACCACTTGTCACCTATTGTTTCCATGCTCTCCTAGGGGTTTACAGAATAATTACAATAAACTGTACTTAAAAGGAGTACTTTGCATATGTATGATGTCTCTGCTATTTGAAAGGCCACCAAGAAGGTTTGTCAGAGAGAGCAGGGAAGTAGATTGTTTCTCACCAGGATGGGCTTAGCAGTTGCATCCTCTTCAAAAACATGGGAGGTCTGAGTAAAGAAAGAACTTACTCAGACATTGAAAGGCTTAAAGAAAGAGGTTAGTCATTTAAAGCACGTCCCATGTCAGCACAGCTCCAGCTGCCTAAACCAGCTGGCTTAAGGATCTTGTTACATCTCTGAGTGTACTCCCCTCTTAGTGTAAGCATTAAAGTCTGACCCTTCACGACAAGTTGCCTTGACCCCATCACTCTTGCTAAGGTTTGCAGTCCTTGCACCAAAGGATGCTTTCTCTCAGGCAAAAGATATTCCTGTGCCTTAGAAAAACAGAAAGCCAGTCAGCTAAACTCCCAGTGCTGTGGAAAGCCATCTGCCAAGCGCAGGACTACTGTTATGACAACTTAGGTCTGGTCCAGCTTTCAGGTCTTCTTTAATGTAAAGACTGGGTTTGGACAGCAGGTTGCAAATTCCAATCTAAGATGCCTTACAAGAGCTTGTAATGTACTTGTGGATCGTGTCTATTCTACCTTGTTCCCTCTGCAGGGCTTGGGAGACTTTTTGCTACATATCCCAGGAAGATTGGGGCAGACCTTCAACATCTTTGTCACTGCTAGAGCTCTACAACAAATGCCAGTCTGAGGGAAACGTTACGCTGCCCGATTCAAACACACCCTCTCCAGAACATGATGCTTTCAGCCTCACCAGTTACAATGCCACTGCTGTAGTAACAACAACAGATGCTGCTCAACTAACCCAAGACGCTTATATCAGCTCCCTAATTCAGATGAATGTAATGAGCACAACGGCAGCCAACCCAACTGAGCTGATGCTCACAAAGGCCAACAGTTCCTCCCACAAGGAGGAGGCAGTTTCCAAATCCACGAGCACCCATGAGAAGGAGGCAGTTACTGAAACCATGAGCACCCACAAGGAGGAGGCAGTTTCCCAATCCACAAACACCCATGAGGAGAAGGCAGTTACTGAATCCATGAGCACCCACGAGGAGGCAGTTTCCAGATCCATGAGCACCCACAAGGAGGAGGTATCCATCAGCACCCAAAAGGAGGAGCCAGTTTCTGAACCCATGAGCAATTCTCCTTCCTTGGTGTCTGTAACCACCTCCCCGGGTTCTCTCAAACTGTTCTATGATCACTCCTCAGATCATGGCTCCACGATTCAAACTGAAACAGACCAGCTAAAGATAGAGCTCAGAACAACCACCTCAGCGTTTCCCCAGGAAGGCACATCCAACCAGCCCACTACTGATTATTCTACTACAGCAATGGGAAGCCCCAATGCCACTGATCCTAACTCCTTTGCCCTTTATGTTGAGGAAGGTACAGCACAAACAAGCCTCCCTCAGCTGAACTCCACAAGGACCACTGTTCGCTCACAGCCTGCATCCACCAAAGGTACAGCACAAACAAGCCTCCCACAGCTGAACTCCACAAGGACCACTACTCGCTCACAGCCTGCATCCACCAGATCACTGATACACTATGTAGATGACTATGACTACGACGAACAGTCAACACAAACCCCAGTGCAAGTGCCATACACCTCCTGTGACTACAATCCTTGCAGGCACCTTCAGAAGCCATGCAGTGAACTTCAGAGAGAATCCAGATGTTTATGCCCTGGCATGTCGAGGGAGGATGAGGTTCCTGATGCACCGAGGCTCAGAGAGGTGTCTGAAGTCACGGACAGCTCTGCACAGATACGCTGGTGTGCCCCAAATTCAGTTGTTCACACCTATGAGCTGATGTTTCATGCCCAAGGCAATGAGGACAGACAGCTCGTTCTGGACAATATTTATTCCACAGCAAGGCAGCACACTCTGTATAATCTACTACCATACACCACTTACCACATTTGTGTGACTGCTTCCAACAAAGCAGGGTCAAGCCAGACAACAGTGCAGGGAATTCCAGATAATTCATGCACTAGATTTAAAACAAAGCCCAGCTACAAGTCTGTCTTTGCTGCTCTGTCTGCAGCAAGTGGACTCTTTCTCATTTCCACAATTATTTTGTCTGTATGCCTGTGTAAGGCATGCAAAAAGCCTCAGAGTGAGCAGTATGGTACACACTTAGTCTCTTATAAGAACCCAGCATTTGATTATCCTTTAAAACTACAAACCAGTAATTAGCTCTGGGTCACTGTTCTGCACATTCCAAGCTCATTGTCTCTTATCACCTTGGTATGTTTGCCTGAGACTCTCCAAACATCCTTCAGCAAAACTATGAAACATCAGACTTCATAGCCCTTATGTTTCTAAGGGACAGAAAAACACACAAAAACTAATAATGACGGTAGTCAAACAGAAGAAAGTCTTTGGACTCTTGGCCACGTGCTAAGCAGCAGCAAACCTGGACACTCACCTTGAAGAGCTGTATGATCACTTACAAATTCATCAGCATGCGTTTCACACAGTCAGAGACTGCTTTGCCAGCTGTCTGCCTCCAGTCTCCCTCATGGATACAGTGCTGAGAGCCATGACCAAGGTGCATCTAGCTAAGATGGACTCTGCTTTTATACTTATAAATGAAGTTGGGCTTTCAGTTTCTTCTAATGTCCATATAAAGGTATCGCCCAAAAAGAGAGTATTACTGGAAGGACTGAGAGAAAGATCTCCCTGAGCTGAGTGGCAAGGTGCTGTGCAAGTCTAACTCCACTAAATAACTCCAGCAACTGCTCAGTGCAGCTTCACTTCAGGAGAGAGAAGCATGAAGATTAATTGTATAAAAGGACAGTTCAGGATCCTTAGGACCAGGATAATTGTTTCGTTCTGACTTTGTATGATGTTTTCCACAACTGAGGCTCCCGAGTGCTACCACAACACCAGCTTACAGGCAGTGAGGAGTTTTCAGTACAGCAGTAGCCCACAGAAGGGAAGAGGCCATGTTAGCATTTGATTCAGAATTGATTGTAAGCAGGGATGATTGCTCAGTCCTATCTACAGATTTAGCAGGCTGACGATTTACCTCCTACAGAGGCAAAGAGCCAAGTAATGAAACAATTTGATGTGCGTGTTGCTGAGACTAAAAACCTGAAATCCCATCCACTCACAGCAGTTACACAGACATTTTTCAGATGTACTTTTGGGTCCTAACTTCTGCTACAGAAATCATAAGAGATGCTGAGAATCCCAGTTCTTCAGCAGCTTTGAGCTTGCCATTAACATTCAAAGGTGTTTGTGTAAGGGGAGGTGTTTGCCCCATCAAATACTTCCTACTCAGAGACCAAAACGTTTATGTTCCAGTGGCTGTGTGTTTCTGCTGCTGTTCACTGCTGTATAGAGACAAGATATAAACTCCCCCAGAGATTTCAGAGTGCAGAAGGTACAGTGTAAAAGAGTCTCTGTTCTGTTTATTTGGGGTTTTTTAATGCTTCCAGTATTGATGGAAATAAAAGCTAGAGTTGAGCTCTGGTTCTTTGTTAAAGACCTAGATCTTTGTGTTGTTTTACCATCTACAGTGTTTAGCCTGAGAAATTAACTCAAACATTTTCTGGTTTGGAACAGACTTTGAGCATAAAGTAATGCTTTAATTATGGTAAATTCATGTTATTTGATATCCCAAGAGCTTTCATTTTGTATGTGCATAAGGTGTCCTGTGCCATCCTCACCACTACAGCTCATAGTCCTTTCATGCAGGTTTGTCCCTTACCCTACACCAGTGCTGGGAATGACACCACCATTCATTGCACATTCCTGTGTGTCTGTCCCTAGCTGCTGAGCTTGGCTGACTCAAACTCACAACAGAGGTAACACACAATGGAGAAGCCAGGATAGCATCATCTTTCACTCCGAAAATCATGTTCACATTCTGGTAGTTCAGACCTTTCTTTGCTTGGTCTTCGTTTCTCATCTTTATGTCTGGTCTGCATTTTCTGGAGAGTCTGTCTAGTGAACAGGCACAGGTGCCAAACTTAACTTGCAGTGAGCAAGGACCACCCCAAATCAGGGCAAAAATCATACACTCCCTTGTGTTTGTACAACATAGGTCTAAGAGACCTTGACTGGGGTCTTTGGTATTATCAGAAACAGAAACAAAGCACAGCAAAAGAAGAGATTTGTGAATCTGAGTGCGTTTAACTAATGACCAACTTCACTCTGTTGTCTTCTCCTCCCTCTATTTGAATCAGTGCTTCTCTTACTTCACTTTTCCTGTGATTTGTGCTACAACCACTCTTCCCTGAATACATTCTATATGCACTTGGATATAACTCGCAAGTTACAGAAGCTAATGGCTTTATTCTGCCATACTTCAAACATTCCAGCTTGGATAAGAAAGCCTGTATTTACACCCAGAACTTGTGTGTCTGGTAAATAGTTGCTGCAGCCCAAGAACAGGTAAAATGACAGTCATTCAAATCATTTGAGTAAGTCACAGTATTTTCAAAGCAAGTATTCAAGTAGAAAACCTTTCTCTGACAGCACTGCCTGTTGCTACTTCTTAAAACCAATGTATACTCCTAGAAAAACTGAATCATCACATTTTCCCCTCTGGACTTTTTATTGTAGCTGCTCCTACTGATTTAGAAAGTAAGCCCTAAAAAGTAAGCAATGTTTTAATCAAAAGGGTAAGGTTATCTTGAAGCCTATTTGCTGGCTTCTACATAATCCAAATATAACTGCAGAAGAAAGTTAATGCCACCCCCATTCCCTAACCTCAGAACACAAGTAATAACCAGTTTGGAGGTTTCCTGTATCTTCATTACTGTGGATGGACACAAGCCGGCTACCATAGCGCTGTTTGGGACTGGGGCAGTGAGTAAGCAACCAGGGAGCCAAACGGAAACTTTCCCACCCACTCTTAAAGCCGTGTTTGAAACCGCCCCAGCTTTGCTCCGCCTGGTGCTTCCTCCCCCTTTTCCTGTTCGCACTGAACAGCCAATCCTGTCGTACGTCCAAAGACACAAACCTTTGGCAGCATGGCTGGGGTACCCAAACAGCTCTGAAATGATTTTAAAAGCTAGCAAAAGCCAACCCATTCAAACCAAAATATAACTAGTAATCTACTCACTGTTTCACAGTTCAACTTGTCCTGTTTCTCCATGAGAAGAGGAAATGCAGAGAGCATTTAAATCTAGTTTTTGAAGAGGTGTGTAATTTTTAACCTGGCTTTTCTTCCCAAGAAGAAATTACCTGCATTCTGAAGAAACCTTCTCCATTCACTTGTCAAGGTCTTTCTTCTTTGTACAGAACCAAGTTCAAGCAAAGGAAGTCCAAAATAGCCAATGGGGCATGTGGGTCCCTCTCTCCTGGGTGCCATGGTGGAAGTGCATGCTTGCTCTGTCTCTAAATCAGTCACTGAGTCTCATGGAGTCTCCCAGTGGAAACACTCTGGGAAAAGGAGCTGATCCCTGGAAAGGCCTCCATACAGAAAAAAAAAATGGCCAGAACCCACACAGACAAATGACTTGCTGGGTGTGAGGATACAGAGAAGGACCACCTTGTCTTCAATGCAACAAATGCCATTTGGAGAATCAGTTATCAAGAGCCCTGTCCTGGGCAGCAGAAGCGGGTGGGTGCCCAGAGCAGCAGGATGAGGTGCTTCAGCCTGACCCACCTCAGTACCAGGAGGGACCATGCTTTTGAGAGTGGTCCCTGGCCAGAGGCGTGAGGGGCATTGAATGGACCAGCTGGGAGACAATGCAGCCCAAGGCAGGGAGCTCACATCATACCACTGGCTTTAGCAGCCTCTTTGTGCAGGGATGCAAAAACCAAACCTCCATGCTCACATAGCAAGCACTGCACAGGCACAGACGTACTCCTTTGCAGTGATCTCCAGAAAAAGGCATTCATGTGGTGTTGGAAACAAGGAAGCCTCTGAGGGTTCAGGGTCTTGCTTGCCAAGTCGCATCGGATTCCCGCTTTACCTGTGAAAGACAGAGATATTTATCACAGGTGTGAACACGTTCCGTGTTTGTGGAAACAGATACTCATAAAAGAACATGTTTAAACTCCTGGTGCTTTTGCTTTTTATCAGCTCTCCAAAGTATGCAGAGTTTGTTCCGAAGCAGGGCAATATACTACAACAGTAATTCCAATCTCTTTAAAAAGTAGTCAAGCAGGGCAACAAATAACAATATTATGGTGAAATATGTTCAGAGAACAATCCCCTACAAGGAGAGGCTGGTGTTCTGCTGTCACCTAGAGGGAGAAGGAGGAATCATCTCCTCAGGTGCATCACACTCGGCTTTTCCCCCAAAGAACTTAAGCCTGCACCCTACAGACCAAAGCTCACTTACACTACCCATGTGCTCGCCTCTGTTCGTCTGTGTATCCTCACCTACTAACCTCTGAATGGAAACAAAGCAGAAGTTCTAACGGTAGCAACAGTTCCAGTCCCTTAGATTGTAACTCAGCAGCTTATCTGTCCTTGTCTCTTAATTCGTTTTTGTAGCCTTATAACCAGGAGTTTCTCTGCCAACTTGTCACTGCTATAGAAAAATGTGCATTTCTTCTTAAGAGCAAGGAGAGGATTACTGTCTGGGAAAACCAGACCTGGTAAATCACTCTACAAGTGCAATAAGGTTTTAATATGTGGATTTTGGAAGCAAAGATCAGACCACATTCACTGCACTTACAGGAAAGAAAAAAAAAAGCAAGGATTTGTTGGGGGTTTGATTCAGCCTGGATAAAGATCAGGAACAGGTAAGTATGTTTATACTACCTGATATCTTGAATTTCATTTTGCTCATATCACTGTGTAGTATTACATCGTATTATTATTATAGTAATTCAGTGGGGATCTTCTAAGCAACTCTTGTCTGATTCTGATGATTCAACTGATGCTCATGGATTTTGTAGCTCAAGGGCACAGTGGCAACTTGTACAGCCCTGGGCAGACAAATGGACCACGCTCTGTGCCATTCCCCAGTACCCAGGCAGTATCGCTACCCCGATGTAGCATCTCTATGGCATCTGATTATTGGGTACATGAGCAGATCAGTGCTCTGGACCCATGGATACATATAATTGATCTGCCTGTATGCAAAAGGTAGGGTTTTGCATGCCCCTGTAACTATAGCGCCTCTGAAGAGTCAGGGGCTTCTAAGAAAGCATGAAATAAACAATCTCCTTTTACTGCTAGAGTTGACCACCTCTCATTTCAAGCTGACATTTCCCATGCCACAACACATTTTTAAAGGTATTTTGACAGTGTAGGTACCTTTAAAGTACAGTTTTTCAAAAAGAAAAGGTCTGAATTCATAGGAATCCCTTATAAGAAACCCTTCACAGGATTAGCAATGGTTACCCTACTGTCTTAGCAGAACACAACCACTGTAAAGAGAGTATTTTTATTCACTTCCAAACCACAGTGCAGCACTGGTTTTTTTGTGCCGCTACTTAATCCTCACACTTCAGCGCTGAATGACATTACCTACAAGTAGATGTAAGAAGTTAATACTTGTATGGCACTCTGTCTTTCCTGACATACTGCTACAGTGTACGTCTTCATTTTTGCTAGATCCTTTGTTGAAAGGTGAGCAGCCTTTTCCACTGTTTAGCATGGCTCTAAGATCATAGACATATATTTTTAAGAAACATAAGGGAGAAAAAAACCCTCAGAAAATACCAACAAGAAATGGAGGGAGTGTGAGAAAAGGGACAAAAACCTCCCTATCTTTACTATTCCTAGACCATTGGTACACCCAAAGTAGGAGAGAACCAAAGAAAAATCAAAAGAAATCAAGCAAAAGAATCCCAAGAAAAACAAAGCCCAGGATCGTTCACTGTGTCGTCCAGAAGGTGGAAGCAGCGATGCAGCCATCTCTGCCATGCAGGCGGGCACAGGCTAGCAGCTCCTGCTGAGCTCTAAGCACAGCTCAGACGTCAAGAGCGATAAATTCCGGGATGAAACTCCAGATAGAAGAGAAAAATAAAAACAATCACGCACTCAGCACTAGGTAGAGGCTTTCTTCTCCTCTGAAAAACTAACATTTACTTGCTGTGCAGCATGTTCTGTGCTGGGAAGGCAGGAATATTGCGTTTATTAAATGTTTAGAGGCTACTTGCTGTTATCAGAGCATGATTAAGTAATGGTACTTAATAACTGAGATAAGGCCATTAGGTGAAATGATGTCACCCTCTCTTTGGCAATCAGTCCTCATGCTGTCATCACTGCTGCCTTGAGAACACTGGGCAGGATATCTCCAGGAAAAAAGAGGAAGACACATGAGACTAATGCTCGTGTCCAACCAAGTGCAGTAAGTAGTAAAGATACACATCCGAGGCATTTTCATAGATGCAAATATTGCCAGAAGCCCCATTCTGTCCTAATTACGTGTTTAGGTATCTACTGATGATATTTGTGCTGTGAAGGTTGCTCAAGTTGCTGATATCGCATCAGAACTGGCAAGGATCACTTGGTATTAGGACACCATTTGACAAGATGCCGCACAAACTGCAGGCAAAAAAGTTTTATCATCTGACTGCTCCAAACTGGAAAGAGCTGGGGAAGGAAAATCAAGAGACAGAGAGGTGCCATGATCCACCCAGAATCACAAGCACTGTGTACAGCAGTGACTGTCAAAAAGGTTCCATGCTGACAGTGGTTCATTGCTTCTGCCTAAGTAAAATAGACCTTTGAAAGCCACAGCAGCACTGTGCTATTGACAAACATCCCAGAAGGACTCAACTCTGTCCTCACTGTGCCTTTAACTCAATATCCCCCGTCTCGGTGCAGCTGCCTATTCACACAAAGGCAGAAAACACAGAGCTTTTACCACATTGAGTCAGAACTGGCTGTAGGTCCAAGTCCTATTTGAAGGACAGATACTAAACATACAAATCTCATTTTTTCAAGACACTAAGCTAAAAAAAGCCCCATTACAACTCCAGCATCACGTGTGTGGGAGTTTTCTGTATGGTTTGTTATTGTTTCACTGCTCCTTGGGAATGCTGGAAAAGGTCACAACACCCAGAAATGATGGTAAGAGGGCAAGAAAAACAATATAATGCGTAGGCAATTCCAAGTCTAAACTCAGCTTTGAAACAAATGTGGAAGTGCTGATTCTGAACATGACTTAACAACATGTTTGCTCCTTTGGGTCTGCTGTCTGAAACCTCAACCTTCAACACGAAGCTGAACTTCAACAGCAAGTCTGACTGATGTTAAGGCATCTCAGGTAACTCCCATAAGCAGCACCAAATTACAAATACCTAAGAAATGTTTCTCCACAACCCCCTGCCTGGATCAATGTGAACAACTGACACACAGGTCAATGGGACATTGCAGGAATAAGCTTAACAATAAGGCTGCCACTAAATACACAGTAGTAAAAAGAAATAAATAATCTCTATTTCACATGGAATGAGGCAGTCAAAGTCCTAAATAAAACTCGGTTTGACAGCCTTACCTATCTGCTCAGCTCAATTACAGACAGCAGACACAAAATGAGTAATAAAACATAATGCCTGCTCTGGGTCAGCTGCCACCCAGTGACACCTTCAAACCTGCAATGACCCAAAATCAAACCAAACTCTAACCAAGGATGAAGGTGACAGTGGATGAGAACAACCTTTATATCAGCCGGATGACTCCTTTTAAATCCAGTGCAAACCTGATTGCATGAACGCCTACAGAAGCCTCAACCCCAACTCTGCCCCCCAGCTGTACAAAGGCAACCCTGACACACAAAAGTATTAGTAAGAAGGTAGCCACTAACCACAGCAGTCCTAAAGTTAGCTCAGCAGCTTGTTCCATACCAAGTAAAAACCCAGGCTCTCCACCCAGCAATGGAACAGACTCCAAATGATTCTTAACACTAATGAGGCTGGGTTTTGCCAAACAGAGCTACATGCAACAAGGTCACTGTCACAGCATTAGATCAAACTTCCATTTCCTCCAAAAATCCTGAAAAACAGCCTTCCAAAACCCAAAGGGGGCCTACAAGAAATCTGGAGAGGATGTGTTTCTGATGATTTTGAAGCTGATATAAAGCCATGTCAAGGTAGTAAACCTTTCCCCTGTCTATGACCTGGATGTATCCCTACCTTTATGTGTAAAACTGCTTTCTTCTCTGCCTGTTAAAAAATGAATATAAAAAGGCAATGACCATTCACTTCCAAAACCTTATCTCTATAAAGTCTCTGACAAAGAGCAGTTATCTAACATTCAATGATGCATAAATCCAGATAGGCTGAGAAAGTTAGGGCTGTTCAGCCTGGAGAAGAGAAGGCTGCGTGGAGACCTCAGAGCAGCCTTCCAGTATCTGAAGGGGGCTACAAGGATGCTGGACAGGGACTCTTCATCAGGGACTGTAGTGACAGGACAAGGGGTGATGGGTTAAAACTTAAACAGGGGAAGTTTAGATTGGATATAAGGAAGAAGTTCTTTACTGTGAGGGTGGTGAGGCACTGGAATGGGTTGCCCAGGG